TATATATATATATATATACATACATATGTACATAGACACATATAGATACATAGATCTATGTGTGTGTGTGTGTGTGTGTGTGTGTGTGTGTGTCTTTATAAAAAGGCAATTTTATTAATGTAAAATGGAAGATACAAAGGTTTTAGTGAGTGGGGACAAAGAACTCACTCACAGAGAATACAACTCACTTAAAAATAGACTTTAAAATTCTTGCACACAAAAAAAAAAACGAAATACTCCTATTCATGGTGGGTGGATTTACCACTTTCCCTTCCCCTGGTTCTAGGGAGAGAGTCTAACCACCAAACTGAGATGTGGGCTTCGACTCGAACCTATCAACAGTCATCTTGAAAATTCCTGAGTTATAGCATTCTTTTTTTCTTCTTCCTAGATTTGCAAACCTTCCATTCATCTGCCAGTGTTTGTCACATCTGATCTATTTTTGGATCTTCGATAGAGAGCTCACCCTGGGGGGTATGTTGATTCGTAAATTGCTGAGAAATCTCAGCCTGTAGCGCACCTTGATCATGACGCTCCTCCGGGGCTTGATTACCCTTTTATCTCGCGATAGGTGGTTCCAAAACACATCGGCTAGCATATGATCTAAGGAAGAACTGTCTCAATAGTTGTGGGAAATAGCTGCGGAACTGGTTGGTGAGGAATAGTATGATGAGACAAATTTTCATTCTACATTTTTGGAAGATCTTCAGTTTTTGTTATGTTTTCCTCCACTTGGGTGATGTTGTTAGGAACTGCAGAATCCAAATGCACAGGAAGGTTGGATCTCAAATGTGGATAAATGTGGATGAAGCCTTAAAGCCTGAAACATTTGGTAGGTGTGTGCCCAATCAGTTTACAGTGATTATAGTAATAAGGTTTTTGTTCTGCGACAATTGACTGCCAATACCCATTGTAGGCAATACCAAGCCATAACTTTTTCGTATCAGGGAGGGTGATATCCCTTTCAACCAGATCCTTGCAACTGAAGGCCTGGATAGGTTGAAGGTGGGTATGCCCAGTTTCATAGCTCTCCCTAATGCAGCTCCAATAGAATAGAGGACTTGGTGATTAAAATAGTGCAACTTTAGGCTAGGTAGTTTAAACCATATTGAAACTATAAGGGGTTCTTGGCTAGGAT